GAGAGGAGGGGTTTGATGACGCCAACAGTGTCCCAGCGCTGGACACTTGTGTGGGGCGTCATATGTTCAACAGATGGCGCTTAAAAGCCAAGAAACAGTGGCCTTCTTGCGACGTGTGTTGCTCTGGGAGCAAAGTGGGTGGCAGCCTGCTTGCTTGCATCAGCAGTTGCATTTCCAGCGTCATTCTCTGTTTTCTTGTGGGCCTGAATGAGAGATTTGCTTTGCCAGTGTCCTGACTTACACAGAACTGCTCATTTGGGGTACTTCGTGGTCACAGCAATAAGGAAGTATTTGACCCTAAAATGGTTCTTAGCAGCTCAAGTTTCTGTGATTATAGAATCATGGGAACTTATTGGAAAATACCTTCAAGATCATTGAGTCCAGCCGTACATATTATACTACATATTAACTACAAACTTTCCCCTTATTCACCTCAATACTGCAAGGTGACAATATTGTTGCATAAATACAGGCCTTCAAGTCAATAAAACCTTCTGCCAAGAAGCAGGTAAACCTCTACCCTGTGGAAATGCCCCGCCAGCACCGGCAGCCCCCTCAGTGCAGCGAGGACAGTGTTAGGGTTGGCTTCTGCCGTGGCCCCAAGGTGAGCCCCGTAAGACCACCCCTCTGCTCTGCACCACTTTGGGCCATGGACTCACCAGCATCAGCACAAGGCCTCCCCCCTCACCTCAGGCCGGCAGACACTCTCGTGTTTCCCCATGGGCAGAAAAGTCACCTCAGAGGCTCTGTGCTCACGTCAAACGCACCCTGAGGAAATGAGGCCTTTCTTAGCTGTCAGTGAGCGGAAGGCGTCTTTGACTCACCATTTATTTCAGCGCCTAGGCCTTACACCTCCACCGAAACTTTTCTGCTCCTTGGGCAGAGATGGCCCCTGGTCCCTGGGTCTCACATGCCACCCTACCAATACCAGCAGAAAGGTTGGGGAGCCTTTCCAGTGAGCATGCACAAGAGGAGGAGATGTGGTAAACAAGCTAGTAATCCCTGCAGGGGACGGCTACCACCTTGGGAGGCAATTAACATTTTTCAGCCTCATTAAAATTAGGCTGTAACTGGATATGGCTGACGAAAGCCTCTCTAATTTCACACATGAGTATCCATGTGCTTCTGGGGGATGTTTGCCTGATACAAATGAGCTGCAAATGGATGAGCTGAGCAAGGCAGAAGTGGGGTATCGTAAAAAAAGCATTCTGATGGGTATGTGTTAATGGAGGAGCCGGCAGCTGCCACGTGTTTGTGTTGTACATCAGGTACAAGCAAGTCAGGGTAGCCAAGCTCCTCTCCAACAGCAGAGTAGCTTGTACACATATGGTTGAGTACACAGCACTGGAGGTGAGAAGGGTGAATAAGAAGGTTACACTAAAGAAAATAAAGTGCTTACGATACATGGAAACTGAGCTAGACCAGGATGAGTCAGACTCAAGGTTGGGTTTTGCACTAGGGGGAAATTCTCTCTTGGAGGTTAAGGAAACTCCTCCGGTGTGACCCAAGTGCAGGGTTATCAAGACATAGACATGGCTGTATCTGTGTATAGATATTATGTTCCTAAAATCTGGCGGTGGCCCAAAAAAGGCTTGTTTGTACGTATTTGGATTTTTCTTTTTAAAGGAAACTGGAAGTTATTCATTATACAGTTTTGTACCTATGCATGCCTATAAAATATGTGTTGTAGATAAGATCACATATGAAGTTCAGGAAGGCTGAAGCTTGGGACCACTGGAACATCAGCGCCTGAAAAATAGTCAGTGACCACTTTTACAAAAGCTGCAGCTCCTGTGTTTCAGGCCAGATGGTTAAGGGGTAAGGAAATGTGCAAGTCTCTCTATGCTTCAGATAAAGATAATCCTCAAGCAGAATTATCTTGGTAGGAATTTAGCACTTCTAAAAATTCAGACTGACAGGGCTTGACTGTAGCCACTGTAATGACCAAACTGTTGACAATGACATAATAGCAGCTGGATGTGATTCAATTAACTGGTTTCATGACAATTTCTGAGAGCTAGGATATAACATACTGCACAGGAGGCTTCTTTGTTCTCTATTGGTTACATATGTGTCAGTATTCAGGAACATATTAATGAGGATCTATTTCTGAGGACACAGCCTGTATATGAATTTGTGTCATATTTATAAGTGTATTTATGCTCTTGCAAGCCTGAGGGTTTAACCTGGTGTGGATTCATTTCTGCACATGGAGGCCTGCTCAATGTTCCTGGCTCTCCTGAGCAAGGATGGGCTATTCAGAGGATACAGGCTGCAACTGCAAACAACCACCTTCACTAGCTCATTTCCAGAGTTCAGTTATCTCCTGATAATAACCTGGATACCAACGGGTGGGCTGGGAAGAGGAGTTAGGATGAGTTTTGTACTGCCTGACTGTTGGTGGGGACAGAAGTGGGAAGAACTTGAAGTCTCATTGTGCTTGGCTCTCAGAGCGGTGGTGATGAACAGAGGGAGAGAAAATAAACCAAGACCTAGCGCAGCTTGAGGGCACTTATGCATCTCCTTCCCACCAGGCTAACAGGGTTTTGACCTCTCTAAAGCAGCCAAACTCATATCCTTGGTACATCCTCCCATCAGAGACGCAGTGGCCTTGTGACCACCAGCTAGAGCTCTCCACATCACCCCCATTTCAGTGGCAGGGGGGGGAGAG